CCTGTATTCAGGGATGTGTCTCTGTAAAGCAAAAGAGAGATAACCTGAGGTACCTCTGTGATCTAACATCCCTGTATATATTTCCAGCAATGTGGTTATTTTGAAAAATCTAAAGTTGGTATTTTCCCAACAATGTTTGCATTGACTCCTAGAAAACTCCTATACTTGCCAGAATAGTGAATGATGAGCCAGATGAAGCAGAAGACCTGTTCCACCTCAAAGGTGTATCTAACAGAACATCATTTGCATATTGCCAGAGGTTTTCCCCAATAGTGACAGAAATATTGGGAACAAAACAGGGCCTATCACGGACCTGCCTGAAGAAGGTTGGGTGACAGTAATGGGTCTGCAACCTCCTAAACTCCTTGCCTTCCTGATCTGTCCCACAGACAGACATTTAGCCCTGACATTAATGCAATAGATTCTGTTCCATCCCTGCTACCCCAGCCAGCAACTCCAGTCCTGCTTACGATGAACCATGAGGATTTTAGTTGGGATGGCTGCTTGATCACAGATTCTGTGACCACCAGTTCATTTTACATGCATGCCTAAGGACACAAAAGTGAATATTTTCCAAAGGAGCAAGAGGTATTGTTCTTCTAGTTCTTAATCTTTTCAACTGAAAGATATGAGCCAACTGGCAAGCCCAGATTACAGCTTACATAAAACTCTTGCACATCTCCCCACATTCCCAGTATCAACATTTCCACAGGGCCAGTGGTGGAAACCTCACAAGGCCCTATATGTTCAATCATCCTTGGTGATTAAACAAAAGTGAACAGTTCTGCAGGAAACATATCTCTCCAAAGATCAGCTATGTGTATGGACTTTATTGGACTTTATTGGAGTTCTTGAAGACATCAGACTGAGTAAGTCAGTAAGGTGTAATTGGCTCCAAACTGATGAGAAGCATTGGCCCCTAAAATCTGCATCCATGGAATCTGGCTGGACGACTTGGAGGTTGAATTTGAACAGAATGCTAAACTAATCAAATCTGAGAATAGGTTAATTGGGGATGAGTGCTTTGTATGAACTTAGCTGATAATCAGGTGTTGGGTGGATCTGATATGGTTAATTAATACAGTACTTTTGATTCTTTTCCCACATACAGAACTGAAATATTACATGTATTTATTAACCATGTTACGGAAAATATACACACACACACAGTTTCATTTAAAAATATGTAGAAGAATTGGTATTTGAAGTCACATCTGTTTATGTTTCATACAAAGGAAATCATTAACATGGAAACTAAAAATCAAAGTCAGATTGTTTTCTATTGCTGGTGGGGGTTTTCCGAATTCATAATCAGCATTTATCTCTCAACAGGGATTTGAATTCTTAATCTTATTAAGATTAAAATCTAGATGTTCTTATTCTATGTTCCTAAAGTGTCAGAGAACAAGACGGTTTCTATTTACCAGGCCATTTCTATCAGCATCTTTTCTAGGTTCATCAGCAGATATTTTCTTTGCCTGTTTTGTTGTGACTGTATGACAACCATTATATTCTAGGAAAATGACTCAGTGCTTCCATCTATTCACAGATCTCGAGACTTTCCCCATGTTTTTCTGAGGCTTAAGGTAAACAGTTAAAGTTACAATGATATGACTCACAATTCCTGAATTTTTTTTGTATTTTGTGAATACATTAAATCTGTCCTCTACAACAATATGCTATTTGTTACACCATTTTCTGATCAAAATAATACCAACTGAAAAAAAGAAGCAAGTAGATCAAGGATGTCAAATTCACGTCGTCATGGCGATGTCACTTGACATATCAGGACTTTTTCCTCCTTTGCTAAACCGGGCGTGGGCATGGCCAGCGTGTGACGCATCTGGCCAGTGGGCCGGGAGTTTGACAGCCCTGAAATAGATGAACAAAATCACGTATGGAAACTTGCAACTTCATTCCATAAAAGAATTCTGTGGGTCATTCATATCATTGAAGTGTCTTTTAATTTTTCTTTAGGTCTAATTTCAGCAGCATAATTCAACCAGAGGCAGGTCAATATTTTGGGGAAGATTTAGTAATGGCAAGATCCTGTTCATCTAGATCAAATTTTCATAAATTGATTTGTATCTCCAATCTGTCCAGTTTTCAGATTCATCTGTGAACAGTCTTGAACTTATGTCTTACTAGTTCTAGTCCAAACATTAACTCTACACTTCATTCAATTCTTCCTCTATAAGTGTGCAGAATCTTTCTTCTAAACTTAGAAAAAGTTATTCTGAACATGTACAGTATATGATACATGAAGAGTAGGCAACCTAGACCTTTCTAGCTCTTTTGCACCAGAACTCTGAGTATCCCTGAGTACAGTTATGAACAACCTTAAGCAGGAGTGGGATTCAGAAATTTTAGCAACTGGTTCTCTGCCTGGTTGCTGGGTGGGTGTGGCTATGGTGGGCATGGCCTACTCTGCCTCCTGCATCACAGAGCCTGGGGGGCATTTTCACCCTTCCCAGGCCCCGGAGGCTTTCCTTGAGCCTCTGGGAGGGTGAAAACACCCTTCCCTGGGCTCCAGAGCCCCTCCAGACTTGGGAGGGCCATTTTTCAGACTTCCAGAACTTCTGGTAGGGCCGTTTTTCACCCTCCCAGAGCCTCCACATGGACCCTGCACTTACCTGGCATCCAAAATAGGCTGGGTGGAGACTCCTGGAAGGGGTGATGTGGGATGGGCGAGATCAGCCAGTCCTTGCAACTACTAGTTCAGTGAACCAGATTAAAATTAACATCCGGTTCGCCTGAACTGGTCCAAACCAGCTGATTCCCATCCCTGGTCTTAAGTTAACTAAGAGATCACTAGTTACACATTGGAATTCAAGCTCCATGAAGATGATTTACTATTTCAGAAATATTTTGAAATTAAAATTAATGAGAAAAATGATACACTGCAACTTTGGGGAAAAGCTGTCCCAACTGATTATAAAAGCCCACATATGTAATACACCCAGCTAGAACCCTACAGTCCAGAAATACCATTCAGCTCAACATGGTGAATTCATAGCCATCCTAAGCCCAGCACTATCTCTTAGCCTTCGGTGTCCCCTTAGCGCTCTCTAGGCACAGGTTGTATTGCTGAAGACACGGATGGCAGACAAGTCCTGTCTGAAGTCTTCAAGATGCACCATCATAGCCAGTCCCCACCACAGCATGCAGGGCTCTTTCATCTGTTGTGCAAGAACTCAAATTTCAATGGACTGAAGGATCCACCATACTGTGGTACCACATGATCAAAAATAGGCAGGGCTGGCACCTCATTTTAGAGAAGTGGGAGCTGAAAAGGGTAGAAGTTGCCTTAAATTTCTCCCTCTTTTGCCCTATTACTCCCCCCCTCCCCATCAAAACTACAAACAGAAATTTGAAGCCCTATCCATTCTAGGATGCTTTTGCAGGCACACAAAAAAGAGAAGGCTGGATACATGCTGTGGTAAATATTTTTATCATTCTTGTGGTTGAGGGTTGAATGCTTTGAGGGATCTATTGTCAAGAAACAGCACAGCATTGGTGACCAAGACTGTAGCCAAAGATGAATAAAGATATCACTTTTCCTTTCTCCCACTCCTTCTGTTTCCTTCCCTTTCTTCTAATCTCTCTCTCTTTTTTTTTCATAATCCTTAAACCCCATCTCCTCTATTTCTACTTCTTCTCCCTCATCAGCATTTTCTTTCCTGACCAATAGATTTGAATAATTTATTTGTGGAGATCTTCTTCTCCAACTCATCCTTCTTTTATTTCATTGCTCATTTTAGCTGCTGAATCTTTCTGGTCCCTTTTTTTCCCCAAAGAACTGATTAATTGCAAAGGGATGTTTCTCCTCTTTACTCTCCATTTCTATCATTATAGTTCAATCTCTTCCACTCTCGCTTGTGCTCTATAAAAAGGGCTGTCTCCATTTTGGCTCATAGATTCCCCCATCTCTAGTTTAAAAGAAATGCTATCTTAATAAAAATGACATCACTTTTCCTCCCAGTTAAAATGGAAGTTTTCATTTCACGTTTATCATTGATAAGCTTTGCACATTAATTTGATTTTCTTGGTAATCATCCAGCCCTTATTTTTCTGCTTCTGTTTTGCAAATGTAGGGACAGTTTTAATACAATATTTGCACTGTGGTTTGCTTCTCAGTATCTTGCAATCTAAAGCTAGTAGTTCAAGGCACATGACTATGACACCAACAAGAATAAAAGTGACATCTTGTGGTTAGATTCTCATAAGTAACCATTTTTAAAAAAAAGTGGTATTTCTGACGTGTATCATCTATATGCAACCAATAGCATAATCTCATTTTTTTCCCCTGTACATTCTGCTTAATTGGTATGAGCATCAAAGAAGGCTTGTTCATTAAAAACAGCATTTGGAAATAATAACTAAAAAGATTAAAAGCAGCAGATCTTTAAAATGAGTGTCTTATGAAACATTCCACCACTTTATGGTAAAAAAGTCAGAAATCTAATTAGAATATCTGAAGGTTTTGAAAGACAAAAAGGAAGGTGGAGAGGACAAGAATCATACTAATGCTATAACAACCACATCATCGTATGAGGTGCTGGGAATATTATCTGAGATTGTCCTCCTACCTAGGAAAAATTCTACCAAGTTTGGACACTTTCTAATTGGCTCCTCTTTCATTATCAGGAGTCAATCTATGTCCACTTCTCTGCTATCCCTGAATGAAAGATGATTTTCTATTCCTGGAAGCTTAGTTTAGATGCAAGTCATAATTCCTTGATGCTACACAAGGCATGATGTGAATTCCTCAAGCATCGCAACCTGACTAAGTCAAGTGAAATCCTTTTGGAATAGAGTATCTTCTGGCTCTTTTTATGCAGGAGAGCATATATATTGGGAACATTCAAATAATTCCAGTGAATCAACCCTACTCCCTGATCTGGGATCAGTTTACCTTGACAACTGTTGTTAGGGATGGAATTCCTCATCGCATAACAACAGTAGGCAGGGTGGATTGTTCCACAATGCCACTAAGTCTTTGTAATCTCTCTTGGAACCCATGGTAGCTTAGACCCAGCATGACCTCAGTGGTTCTCAACCAGGAGGATGCAAGAGCATCTACAGAAACCTACACTTACAGCAGCTATCCCCGAGTGGTACCCAACAGAAAGCGGTATCAAGAACACTACGTAAACAATGGGCAGTGAGTAATGACACTTAACTTTACAGTCTTGGACTCAACATCTAACCCAATTATGAATCTGACTCAGCCTAATCAAGCCTTCATCTCTAAATTCTTTTTCTTTTCTTCCCCTGCCTTGCCAATTAGATGTTTCAAACTCTAGCCCTGCATTCACATGAGCATTAAATCTGTCCTGTTAAACATGCTCTTGGCTGTATATAAAATTATCAAGATCCTTTCCTTTCATTGGAATGCTTATTCCAGATAACAGCAGCACTATACACTGGATAATTTAATTTATGTCTTTCTATTATTGAGAAAGAACTACTGTTTGGGACAGTGCCCTGCAAACTGAAGAAAGGATAATGGGTTTTATTGATATAGCTATTATTCATGTTACGTTTAACAAATGCATCCTATTGTGCATTACAGGTGAGCACCTCCTTGAAAGAGAATGTCAACCCTGAAGTTGGCTGAACTGTGGCCATTTTCTTTTTTGTAGTTTCTAGGGAGGTTTCTTTTCTCACTGCTTCAGAGCTGACACAGCCTGGAGTGAAGGGGCCAGGAAGTGGGATGTAGAGATTAGCTGGGGTGTTATAGTCTAAATAAAATTATTTCCCCTGGGAATCAAGGCCATTCAGGCAGGTGTCCGCAGGTGGAGAATGAGGTCATCTAGCAACTGGGCTGTATGCTGATTGGACCATGTGACTGAGACTATGGGGGGAAGTGATAATGTTTACTTTTAATTGGGGGAAAAACCGGTGCCAACTTAGAACTGGTTTTCCACCAGGAATATGCCAATTTGGATGGGGAGAAATAGGCTCAGACTCACCCTTCCAAGACCGAGTGGCTGTGGCTTCCGGTGTCCCGATATAGTCAGCTGGTGCCATCGCTGACTATTGGGGGGTGAATCTCTGCCCCCCACAGAGAGGGCTCGCAATCTGGGTGTCCTCCTGGACACACGGCTATCTTTAGAAGAGCATATGATGGCCATGGCCAGGGGGGCTTTCTATCAGGTTCACCTGATTCGCCAGTTGCAGCCCTTTCTGGACCGGGATGCCTTGCGCATGGTCACTCACACCCTTGTCACCTCCCGGCTGGACTACTGTAATGCTCTCTACATGGGGCTCCCCTTGAAGAGCACTCGGAGGCTCCAACTGGTCCAGAATGGGGCCGCGCAGGTGGTTATGGGTGCAACTCATTGTGTCCACATGACACCCCTCCTGCGCAAGCTGCACTGGCTGTCAGTGGTCTTCCGGGTGCGATTCAAGGTGCTGGTCACCACCTTTAAAGCGCTCCATGGCATAGGACCCGGGTAGTCGAGACCGACTTCTGCCACCAATAGCCTCCCATCGGCCAGTCCGCTCCCACAGAGGGGGTCTCCTCAGGGTGCCATTGGCCAAGTTATGTTAGCTGGTGACACCCAGAGGGAGGGTCTTCTCTGTGGGAGCCCCTGCCCTGTGGAATGAACTGCCCCCGGAAATGCATAAGATCTCCGACCTCCATGTATTTCGCTGTGCCCTCAAGACCATGCTGTTCCGCCAGGCCGGGCTATCAATGTAATGATTTTAAATTGGGTGTTTTAAATTTGGGGGGTTTTAAATCTGAGCCGAAATTATTTAATAATTTTAATTATTTTTAATTGATGTCTGTCTTTGTGCTTTTAATAGGCTGTATACCGCCCTGAGTCCTTCAGGAGAAGGGCGGTATAGAAATAAAATTATTTATTTATTTATTTATTTATTTTATTTTATTTGATATGTCCTAATAAAGAACTTTCTTTGAGGAACTTGCTTGCCTCGAAGTTCTTATTGAATTGGGAGGTATTACTTGGAATCCTAACATAGAATGTGTCTCTGCCTTTTCTGCTGCTAGCAAGACAAATTTGTGTTTACACCCCCACAGTCATAAACCTCACTGCCCAAAGAGTGCAAAGTCACTCAGTTTAATAATTCTATTGAGTTGTGCCAGTATAATATTTTTATGGTGGTGGTGGAAGCACCACCATCACTAAAACCCAAAATCCAATTCACTTCCATTAGAGATACCAAAGCTTGGTTTAGAGCAGCTGCTTTACAAAATCACTCTTCCATCTCTGTTTTTTCTGAAAATATCAGGTACTAGTAACCAGATGTGGAGAAAGTTGCCATCTGAGATCAGGAAGAAATACAGTCAAAGTAGGCAATCTAAAACTGAGTGGATATAATGCCCATCTACATTCTACATTGTTAAATGTCTCCCATTTCATAAGAGCATTTAGCTCTATCACACAGCTTGATAATATTTATGGAATCAAATTTCTATATTTTTGTGTCTCTTTCATAAATCCCTTATTAGCAGTATTTTCAAGATATTGATATATTCCCTTCTTAATTTTATGAATTACAGAGAAGGGCCAATTAACTATGGGAACCTCATGTATGATCGTAGAGTGGTTCGAGGAAACACATATGCTATGCAGATGTTATCCTGGGTAGGTTCCTTTTCTTATAAATATTTTTATCTCTTTTAATTATGGGAATGCTGGAATGTTATTGGTGAAATATGCTTATTTATGTGGGTGTAGTGGTACCTAATTCACATATGCTGCTCATTGAGTGATGTTCATGCATAGATTTATCACTGAAGAAATGCATTTCCATCTTCAAATATCCAGCTTTCTTAGATACCTAGAAACAATATCCAGAAACAAATAAATATCTCATTATAATCATTATAATATCAAAATTATCTAGAAACAAATAAATATTCATCTTTCTTACACATCTAAGAACAAATAAAATTATAACCAGTTGCCAATATGGGTTCGTCAAAAACAGATCATTCCAAACAAATCTTATTTCATTCTTTGACAAAGTGACTAAATTAGTAGCTCAGCAAAATGCTATGAACATAGTATACTTAGATTTCAGTAAGACATTTGACAAAGTAGATCACAACCTACTTCTCGGTAAGCTAGAAAAATATGGAATAGACAGCATCATCACCAGATGGAATTGTAACTGGCTGACAAACCATATTCAATGTGTAGTCCTCAACAGAACCACATCCACATGGAGGCAGTAAGTAGTGGGGTACCTAAGGTTCAGTTTTAGGCCCAGTACTCTTCAATATCTTCATAAATTATCTATAAAGGCACACCATGGGAAATAGCCTTCATGATCATATGATTAGCATGTTCATGACTTTAGGCACACATTTTAGAAAAGAAATCAAAATTGGATAGCTAATGGAAAGTTTATGCAATGACGTATTATAGTTACAACATTTGTGTTGCAAAATATCTCATCAAATGATAGTGCTCAGCTGACTTGTCTGAGCTCCTCTAAGAAAAGTCAGGTTTATTAGTACAAGGGTGGGTCCCACCAAGGAATCTCAGTATACTAGACTGAGAAGTTGAAAAATATTCCAGAAATTGATAATAGCAGATCACTATTATAATTCTTCCCAAAATATCCTGCATGGTTGTGCTCAAAGAACTAAAGGCTGAGAAACAACCTTTTCAGACTATACAGAGCCACTGTGTAAAGTTGGAATATAGCTCCCAACTTGAGGTGAAGAATGTCCATTGACTTAAAAGCTGGTAGGAGGAAAAGACTAGAATTTGAATGCTGAGGCAGACATGTTTACATGTTTATAGGGTTTCCCTCTCTCTCTCTCTCTCTCTCTCTCCTCTCTCTCTCTCTCTCTCTCTCTTCTCTCTCTCTCTCACTCCCTCCCTCCCTCCCTCCCTCCCTCCCTCCCCTGTATATATTCTATTTCATTTGAAATAAAGCAACTTAACTAGCAATACATACGTTTATGTATTAGATGTACTTCTGTAGTTAGCAACTCATGAATTATAGGTCAAATGCAGATCCCAGGAGACTTTCTCCTTTCTCTTACTTAATTCTGAAGTAAATTGAGGACCCAGTTGTGGGGGCAATAAGCTGACTTTGTATAAATATACAAAAGGATGAAGGCTATTGCTGAGCACATTGTAAGCCGCCCTGAGTCTGAGAAGGGCGGCATATAAATCAAAATTTTTTTTAAAAAATGCCCATTGCTCAAAATATCTGTCATGATAATAATCCTAACATGAAATATCCTAAAGCTCTAGTCCTATCAATTCTCAGGATTCATGGATCTCCTTGGTACTTGCAAGTAGACATGCCTAAAACAGTTAATGAAGGAACATGAAAATTGTATTAATATGCAAAGCATAATAGTATCAACCCAGTTTTAGTCTAAGCAATGTAATCTGCAATGAGGCCTTCTAACATTGTCCATGATGCCAATGAATACTAGGCTGTTCATGTTCTAGAAAGTCATTCTATTCCTGAGGAACGATAGAAGAGCACAGTGTCTGATAGATTGAATAAAACCTGATGGCCTTATCTGTCTTGACTTTTGTTGGATATCATTAATGTTCTGTAAATATAGGATATAGTTTGAAGGTGATTGTATTTCAGTCTCAATCATCTTATTTATTCAAGAATAACTCCTGAAGAATTCTTCAAGGTTTAATTTCTTACAAACATGCTTTACACTGGGCGTCCTTTAGCTCTCCATGCAGTTTGAAAAGGCTCGGTTTTCTTTAGTTTATTCTGTCAGTCATCTGTGACTTGTTGGTCCTCTTCACCTGTAGAAGAGCAGCTGCTAAGCATCATTGCTTTGCTTGGGAAAAACACAGAGGATGTGTTGCCTAATAAGTGCCAGCAAAGGATACTGAATGAAGGACCATTATGGTAGTTCAAAGATGTGTATAATGATCCCAACACTATATATGTAAACATATTAATTCTATATTGCATTTTGTGCTGTTGCATTGGATAACATTTGTATAAACTGCTTTTCTGCTGCTTTCATACACAAAAGAGGAAGATAACAACAACCAAAGAGAGTAAAAAGGAAACAATACAATGATACCGTTAGCAGTTTCTTGGGGACTGTAAGGGGAATATATTTTAAGTCTGTGAAAATAATAATGTAATGTAATGTAATGTAATGTAATGTAATGTAATACCATACCATACCATACCATACCATACCATACCATACCATACCATATCATACTATACATAAAGGTAAAGGTTTCCCTCACACATATGTGCTAGTCATTCTCAACTCTAGGGGCGGTGCTCATCTCCGTTTCAAAGCCAAAGAGCCAGCGCTGCCCGAATATCTCCGTTGTCATGTGGCCAGCATGATTAAACGCCAAAGGTGCACAGAATGCTGTTACCTTCCCACCAAAGGTGGTCCCTATTTTTCTACTTGCATTTTTTACATGTTTTCTAACTGCTAGGTTGGCAGAAGCTGGGACAAGTAACGGGAACTTGCCCCATTATGCAGCACTAGGGATTCAAACCGCTGAACTGCTAATCTTTCAATTGACAAACTCAGCATCTTAGTCACTGAGCCACTATACTATATTATACTATACTATACTATACTATATTAAATATTACAATACAATACAATACAACACAACACAACACAACACAACACAACACAACATAATATAATTTTCAGTCTCCAAATGAGACTCAGTGTGATATATTTGGATTAGGAGCAAGGAGATCAAGGTTCATGTCTACTCTCAACCATGGGAAACTTTGACACTCTCTCACCCAACCCAACCTACTACTGAGGGTTGTTGTTATGGGGGAAGATAGGAGATGAAAGTACGGTGTATGCCCCCATGATCTCTTGAATCACCCAGCTATACATAAGACATTAAGAAAGAACACCATGTAAAATAGCAGAGAATTCTTCTCCTTCTTCTTCAGAGTCCAGAACCTGAACCTGCTGAAATCAAGAAGCGACATGAAGCCCACAAGAAAATGCTTGAACGGCAGCAATTAAAGAAAGAGAATGAGGTCCATCCACCAGAAATTAAGGATGTTGGAAATCGCAGTGATGTGCAGACAGGTAAAGCACCAGACAGCATCAACCAATTATCAAATCACTTCTAGACCTGAGACAAAGGATACTCTGTTGGGGAAGAAATATCCACCCAAATAATGGGCATTGGACCATGAAGGAATTTCCCTTTTTCTTTTCAACTTTCCTGATTTTGCTTACATTTTATACTTTTTTTTCATGACATTATAAAAAGAGCATATTGCTAGGGTCCCTTCCAGGGACCATCTGGATTAAAGGTTTTGTCTTTCCTATTAGCATTCTTTGCACTGCACATACTGCATGTCATTTTCAAGATGACATCCTAAACATATTCACTATAGGATACATTCAATACATAGTGTTATTTGTTCTTCTTTTTTTTTTTTGATATTAACAATCATGTTAATACTGTCAGTACTTGCTTTTTAATGAACAACAAATCACCTTAGAGCCACAAATTACTCCAGTCAACAGTACTGCCAATACTGTACGTATATTGTCATATATTCTGGGCAAGAAGAGTGTCCTAATGATGGATATTCACAAGAGGGAGGTATTTTTTTAAAAAACAAAATCTAGATAGTGACCATGACTGTATGATCAAGGCCACCATTTTGTGGTTTTTTTTTTAATGCAATCCACAATGCTGTGGCCTAGAGGTGGCACTCTTGCCTCACAATCAGGAGGTTGTGAATTTGATCCTAGGTAGAGGCAGATGTAGGGTCTCCTGCTTGGGCAAGGGGTTGGACTGGATGACCTTCAAGGTCCCTTCCAATTCTGTTAATCTGTTAAAGTACACCTGCATAAAGTAAAATTAAAAAAGAAGTCTATATTTTTTTTCAGTGGCTGTTCTAGGAACCACAGATAGAGCCTAGGAACATGAAGTATTACAAGACCAACTTCCATGAGTTTTATTTTTCAGAACTGTACCTGGAAGAGATTTTAGATCGTATTATTGAAGTTGACATTGAGTGTCAAACAGATGCTTTTATAAAAAGGCTATCCAGCCCAGTGTTCATCCCACAGAAGACTGGAGTTGATGTAGCAACACAAATTGAAGAAGGAGAGGTACAAACAATATTTCAATACTATTCTAGATCAGTGGTTACCAACCGGTGGTCTGTGGACCACTGGTGGTCCACGAGAAAATTTTGGTGGTCCAAGACGCACCCGGGTAGAGGAGCTGCTCCGGGATGAGCAATGACCAGTCCTGTGACTAGAGCTCTGGAATATGGAACTGGCCAGGCAGCTCATGATGGAGTTGTAAATCTCAACCCCACCATGAGGTTTGTGCAACTTGCAACTTTGCAGTGCAGCCCTCGCCAGCCGGAATGAGGTAATGGTGCAAGGGGGGGGTGGCTGTGCAGGCAGGCTGAAGGAATGGGTGGCGGCAACCCCAGGCTCTTTCTTCCCCCTGCTGTAGCTTCCTGTCGACTGAACCCACCAGTGGCTGTCCCTGCCCCTCGCCCTTCCTTCCCAGTCACTCCTTGCCTGGCAAGGGAAGGGTGGGGGATGGAGATTTGTTCCATATTTCAGAGCAAGAGCGAAGCTTCGTCTCTTGCTGGATCTTCCGGCCCTTGTTGGTCCTCCACGCACGGGGAGATGCCTGACTTCCTCTCAGCCCCAAGACGCTGGCTAGCCCATGAGATGAGAGAGAGAGGGAGAGAATGAGAGAGGGAGAGAGAGAATTTATTTATTTATTTATTTATTTATTTATTTATTTATTTATTTATTTGTTTGTTTGTTTGTTTGTTTATTTTATTTTATTTTATTTTATTAAATTTTTATACCGCCCTTCTCCCGAAGGACTCAGGGCGGTGTACAGCCAAAAATAAAACACAACTATATGAAAGTTAAAAGACAATTTAAAAATATTAAATAATTTGGCTGAAAGAGCTAAAATAGAAACCACCCATTAAAATAGCATTTAGGCCAGCCCTGCTTGGTGAAACAATAGTGTTTTGAGGGCGCGGCGAAAGGTGCGAAGGTCGGGGATCCTACGAATCTCCGGGGAATCAGAATCAGAGAGAGAATGAAAGAGAGAGAGAGATGAGAGAGAGAGAATCAAAGAGAGAATGAAAGAGACACAGAGAGAGAAAGAGACAGAGAGAGAATGAGAGAGAGAATGACAAAGAGGGAGAGAGGGGGGGGAGAGAAAGAGAGAATGAAAGAGAGAATGAGAGAGAATCAGAATGAGACAGAAAGAGAGAAAAAGAGACAGAGGTTGGAGAGAGAGAAAGAGAGATATGAGAGAAAGAATGTGTGGGAAAGAGAGAGAAAGAGAGGGGAGAGAGAGAGAAAGGGAGAATGAGAGAGAAAGAGTGGGGAGGGGGAGAGAGAGAGAGAGAGAGAGAGAGAGGAGGGAGAGTGCCTGAAGGACCCCATCTTGTCACTGGGAGTCCAGGCGCTTCAGCAAGCGGTGCGCTGGATTCATATTAGTGGTCTGTGGGATTTAAAATTATGAACTTGGTGGTCCTTGAGGTCCAAAAGATTGGGGACCCCTGTTCTAGGTAATTCAAGAGGTAATGGGTTTTTTTGCCAAACACATCTTTAAAAATTCCTATTGTAGAAGCTTTAGAACAGGAGTGTTTTCTAAGCCGGAAAATATAAAAAGGGACTTATGGTATTTGGCACTACATATCATTACAGCGGCGAGACTGATGTATGCTCAACTCTGGAAAAATCAAAATATCCCAACAGAGGAGGCTATTATAAAAAAATTTTTAGAATGTGCGGAAGCAGATATGCTAACTAAAAAATTAAAAGATAGAGAGCAAACACAAGTAGGTTTAGCTTGGGACAAATTTTATAAATGGTTAGAAAAGAGGAAACTATAACCCACATTAGATGAGGAACGGTATTTAATGAGAAACTTATATTATATAGGATAAGTGAGGTCGGATAGACCTAATTGATGTATTAAGGTATATAAGCTGTTCTGTCTTCTCCGGAATACAATATAGAGTTATAGTACCGAATATTTGTTCATTAAGGTACTATATGGAAGTATGTTTGTTTATTGTTGTATTGGTTTTTTGTGTGTCACTTTATGTTGTGTTGTCTTTTCTTTTTAACTGAAATGTAAATAAAGATTATTTAAAAAAAAAAAGAACAGGGGTGTCAAACTAGCAGGGTCACAGCAGCATCACGTGATATATTGCAACTTTTTCCCCTTTGCTAAACCGGGCGTGGCCAGCACATGATGCATCTGGGCCACGAGTTTGACAGCCTTGCTTTAGAAGTTAAAACATTTTGTAATAGTTTGTTCTTTCAATCATTCTAAAATTCAATACTATATGAGAACTGTGAAACACCACATCAGATATTCTGAACCCCAGTTCTATTTTTTTTTCAACTGAGGTGCTTACAAGAAAATGGGAGTCAGCTAATTTTTGGGGGGGGAGGGCAGTGATGTGCCCATAAAGACCTGTCTCTAAGGTCCTAGCAATCATTCAGTAAAGCAAGGAAAGCAGCATGTGGCACAATATGACCTCCAGGCATCTAGCAGGTGCTCCAGAAAAATCACTGTTGCACCCGCTTTCCTAACATTTGCTGTATTTACACTCTCAGCATGTTTAAAGTGTCTGAGCATGCTCAGATACAAGGACTGAAGCAGCTGCCCTAATGGTGCCCACACTGATTGCTAGAACTGGTTGCCCAAAGACAACAATAATGTTTAAAAGGGGAAATAGAGACAAATAACTATGGCGTATATTTCAGGCTGCAATTCCTGATTGAGAAATGATAATAACAAAAAACATCTTCTGGAGGTCGTGATCTCTGGGCTATGGGAAAATTCAAGCAAAAGGAAAGTACATCTCATAGGATATCCATCCATGTCAAAGTTGTTTACCTCTAGACCTGGAGTGAGATACTTATGTTTGTCCAGATGATTTTAATTTCTATTACATGACCACTAATTTGGGAAGCTGAGGATTGTAACTCAGAACATCTGGAGGGATACAAGTTTCCCCCTCTTACCCTAGGTCAATTGAAGCTGGAGGAAGAAAATGACAACATCTAACAAAGAGGTTGGAAACAGAATTGCTTTGTTGCCACTGCAGTGAGAAAGGGGATGTTTTTCACCAGTCTTTCTTTTCAGGGAAAATGACCCTTGAGCAATAACAGCAATTTCCACCTTTTCCATGCCTCCTATTGACCCTAATGCTCTTCATGAATGGAAAAAGTGGTCCATGTTAAGGTATATCAAAATCTAACATAAAGCCTTTCACCTGCTCAATTTTCATAAGCTTGATGGATTTCATTTCATTTGAGAATCCCAATGTGATCCTTAGGAACAGACCATATTTATTGTCTTTCTCCAAACTCCCGTTGCCCAGCTAGCCTTTCAACAACTCTGTAAGCTTGGTAAGAATGATTTATGAGGAGGTCCTTGATGCTCTCTGAACTTGATGCTCTAATGACGTTACCTAGATTGGATAATGAAACATCTGCAAGGAAACAAGCTCATAAGAGGACCAAGGACCCTTCATTTTAACCCTAACTTACAAATATTGTCCTTTATAAGAATGATTGTCTCCTTTTAACAAATGAAAGGCTTTGTTGTGACCCCGACTCCCGAGCCTGTCCTAACAGAGGAAGAGGACTCAGAAGGTAATGGGGAGGAACTGACAAGGCCTTCCTCTCCAGGACCCTCCTTTCTGGCAATGCCTCAGGTTCCATCCGAAGGCCAGGAGGAACAGCCTGGGATGTGCCAGGAGGAAGGCATATTGGAGCATCAATTAATAGGGAGCGAGGATGATGAATCCTGGCTTGATCCCTGGCAGCGTCGGAGGGAGAAGCTTGCGCAGCAACGGAAGAGGCGTGGGAGGGCCAGAGATTGAGCTGAGTCACGAAGCCACGCCCCACCAAGAATAAAAGTGGGTGGGATTGCTCTTCAGGCTTTGTGACGAACAAAGTTAAACCCTAAAAGTCACATCGTGATCTCTGAAATTCGGCTTGGATATATTTTGGACTGAACATTGACTAAACTCTTGTGGATAATTTGTTGCTCCTGGAACGGACTGAAGATGACTCCTCTTCTGCTTTATGGAAGTGAAAACGGTCTTGGCAGGCATTCGGCAGTTTGCTGCCAAAACCTTGGTCTGCCAAGAATTCTAATCTGTTTACCTAATAAAATATTGGCAGGCGTGCTTAGTATTACGTTTGCCTGTGTGAGGAAGGGGGACAGAACAGGCTTGTCTATGACTTGACCAGAAGAATATATTTTCTTGTTTCCTGTCATGGAGTAGAATGATATTGCACAGCATTCATTCGGCTCTTTTTTTTTTTTTAACCCTCAGCTCTTTGACTTTGATGTTGAAGTTAAACCAATGCTTGAGGTGTTGGTAGGGAAAACTTTGGAGCAAGCTTTGCTTGAAGTCAGAGAAGAAGAGGATCTTAGCAATCTTCGGGCACACCAACATGTCTATCAGGAATTGCGCAATGCAGAGTTGGCTGAAGTGCAACGCCTCGAAGAAAAAGAACGGCGACACAGCGAGGAGAAGGTAGAATTGTTGTAGAAACCATTACTTAGTGGTTTGTTTTGATGCTTATGTATTTTGCTCTAGCATTTTTTAAACAAGGAATTGAGGCTGGGTGCCATCTTGTCCTTTGCTTTGAGCATCAAAATGTTTTCATCTCACTCTAAAAATTAGTGATTCTTATACACTTAGTTTCAAATCTGTCAAGTTTTCAGTGACTTGAAGTTACAAATAATTTAAATTAGATATGATCTCAAAAGGACAGCTTCTTTTATAGCAAGTAAAGTAAGACAAACTGATACTGTTAAATATAAATATGAGGGACAAGGCATATAAATACTTAAAGTAACAGAATAACAGAGATGGAAGATATCTTGGAGGTCTCCTAGTCCAACCCCGTTCAGGCAGCAAACGCTATACCATTTCAGACAAGTGGCAGTCCAGTCTCTTCTTAGAAAATTCCAGTGTTGGAGCATCCACAACTTCTGAAAGCAAGTCATTCCACTGATTAATTGTTCTAACTGCCAAGAAATTTCTTTTTATTTCTTAGCTGGTTCTCTCCTTGATTAGTTTCCATCCATTGCTTCTTGTCCTGCCTTCAGGGTTAAAAATAGATTTGATGGCTTTATCCATACAGCATATTCTTAATACAGGCCAAGTGCCTATCAAACAATGTTGCTGAAATTCACTTGGAATTTAATTCCAATTAGACAGATTGAGTCAAGGTAACAGGAGTGCAATTTTGCTTGGTTACCTGGGAGGAGTTTGGTCCTGTAGCTCCTTAGAAAGTAGGCAGGTTCCTTGGGACAAGCTATATATTTGTTAGACTTTTGCCCTTCTTGACATTTGAAAGCAGTCTGAGAAATGACTTATAATTGGAGCCATACAAACATTAATAAGACAATCAAAATACAATAATGATCTTATTACCACATGTCATCGTGGTCATCGCCGAAGCAAGGAGATACTGGAATAAGATACACACGTGGTTGGAAAAAATGATAAAGAGCCGTATTGACTTTAAACCAGATATTTTTATTAGGGATCATACCAGAGATATATAACAAAGAATTGCAATACTTAATTGTGAATCTTTTGACAGCAGCCAGAATTGTATTTGCTAAAAACTGGAAAGGAGAAAAATTACCTAAAGATGAAGAAATTATTAAGAAAATGATGGAGTGTGCTGAAATGAGTAAACTGACATTTGAAATAAGAGAGCAGGAAGATAGACAATATTATTTGATATGGGATTTATTTTATCAATGGATAGAGAATAAGAATTGGAGATAATTATGATATAAATGAATGTTGACATTTTTGGAAATAAACTAGCATATTTAATGATAAATTGAAGAGAGGAGAAGCACAAAAAATGTCACCGACTGACATGCTGTCTGTAACTGTCTGGAATGATAATGTTTTTATGTTTGTTTTTGTTCTTAAAAAATTAAAAAAAAATTTTAAAAAATACAATTATGACTTTCAGCAGAAACTCATTATTATTGGTTTTCTCTGGAATCAATGCATTGTTCAATACTTACAGATAAGGGGGAAGGGGAAAAGTCTGTATATTTTATATATTATGTAAAAATATCCACATTACTAAAAGTCACATGGAAAAATTGATGATTATTTAAAGAGACGTCGCATGGCAAAGCAACATGAAATAAAAGCAAAAAGAGAAACGGTGTCTAAGAAAGTGGCAGCCCAGGCATTTTCTTTCCAATATCTGGCAGATCTGTTTCCTTCAGCCTTTTTTAACCTTCGAAGTCAAGGATTTTTCTATGATGAAGTACAAAGAGGTAAGTGTCATTCATATTGGAAATAAAATTTTAAAATCCATATCTGTAATCCCTTATATCATCCTATGTGATAACACTTGGCCCTCCAAAATGTGCCAAACCCAAATGTGTAGAATATTTTAAAAGACTTTGCTAGGACAATATTTCTCTTGTTCATGTGTTGCTTGATAAGTATTTTTTTTACTTACTTTACATTTTTTGAAAAATTCTCAAGGTGACGAACAAAATTGCATATGGTGTTTGCTTGATTAGGTTCAGATATGACTGCCTTTTAATATCTTATGCAGTTATTTTTTTAAAAAAAAATCAACCCTGATAAACTCTATATAACATGGATGAGATTAAAAGAAAACCCCCTACAGTAAGAATTAATTGAGTAGCTTAAACTGGCAAGTAATATAATTACGCAAGAACCTTAATGGTTAAGCTCTATTGAGAAAGCAGAAGTGTCTTAAGCTGATACTTAGACTACAGTAAAAACAGCAGCAGCCAAAACTGAAAGGGCTTTAAACTCCATTAATCATCTCGCCTAATCTCTAGAGAAGGATAATCCATACAATACCATGAGCCTCAGTCATTTATTTTTAAGCAGTGAGCAAATTCAGATGGGGAAAAATATGTTGCTTGATCCCAAACCGTTGTTGTTGTTGTTGTTCTTATTATTATTATTATTATTATTATTATTATTATTTAATCTTTAGTGAGATTCATAGCCTTTGAGGCTGGTTAATAGCTCAGCAGCTCGAGTCCTAACCAAGGACCTAGGAACTGTTAAGGTATCATCATCATCATCATCATCATTTATTATTATTATTATTATTATTATTATTATTATTATTGTCAGTGGTATTTAGCTAGGGATAGATTGTCATGGAGAAAATCTATGTAGTGATTAGGATCACAAAAAACTTGATGGCACATAATCAATTAACAGTGATATTTACACAACATTGACTATGGGGTAGTATTAATTTCAAGGCAATTAAACCATTAAAAATGAAAAGGGTTGCATCAATATTAGCTGCGATTTCTGAAATATTCAAGTTGATAAGCATAAGATTACTTGGATTTAAAGATGAATGTGGCATCAATAAACTGCAAACATTTATTATATGCTAAAGGTTTCTGTCTTAAATTTAATAGTTAATCCTAAAGTCTCCACTGTATTGTTATCTATTGTTGCTTTTGCATATTAAAAGAAAGGAAAAGAAAAAACAAACCAACAAAACATTCAGAAAGTAATCACAAACTCTCTGAGAAAAGATGGAAATAGAAAATATCCTAGGTCAGTGATGGTGAATTTTTCCAGACTGAATGCCCAAAGCGCGCATACGCGAATGCGTGCAAGTGCGCATGAACCCCCAAATGCAATGTGCATGCCTCCCGCATGCGCCTCCTGCATGCACCCCACCCCATGCATGTGCACATACCCCACATGCGCCCTGCCCCCCGTGCATGTGGCCCACCCCATGTATGCATGTGCCCCCATGTGTCCCAGCCCTGGTCCCTGCACATGCACGCATGCCCCCCACATGCCCCCCCAGCCCCCACACATGTGCAGCAGAAACCCGAAGACCAGCTGGCCCGTGGGAGGCGCGGGAGCATGCATGACAGAGCTGAGCTGGGACGGCAGTTCGCATGCCCACAGAGAGGGAGCTGCATGCCATCTCTGGCACATGTGCCATAGGTTCACCACAGAGGTGGGTTTCAGCAGATTCTGACCAGTTCTGGAGAACCGGTAGTGGAAATTTTGAGTAGTTTGGAGAACCAGTAGTAAAAATTCTGACTGGCCTCGCCCCATCTATTCTCTGCCTCCCAAGTCCCAGCTGATCGGGAGGAAATGGGGATTTTGCAGTATCCTTCCCCTGCCACGCCCACCAAGCTATGCCCACCAAGCCATGCCCACAGAACTGGTAGTAAAAAAATGTGAAACCCACCACTGGTTCACCATCAATGTCCTAGGCCAAGCAGGGGGGATCAGGACCCGGCTAGAGAACTGGAGAGAACTATCTCCTAAAAGCAAGGGCTTCAAAGTTTCCAGGCCATCGATCATCATCATCATCATCATCATCATCATCATCATCATCATCTAGAACCCCTGATTGAGAGGCAAAGTTCTAGTGATAGAAAAAGCTATTTTCAAGTGACTTTTTTTTACCATTAGTTTCTTTTGGAATTCTATCAAGAATTCCATACAGAATCCCATGTTAGTTCGATAAAGTTCCACATGGAACTCACATCTTGAGTTCCACATGGTATACTTCAAAAAACTATCTCCTCCTCCTGGATATTGTGAATCAGTACTATTTTCAAACTTAACACTTCTTTCAGAGTAAGAGTCCTTAGTATTTTACAGTTAGAAATATTTTCTGAATAAAGGATAATGCTGATAAATACAAAAAACATACAATGATTTTTGTATCTATTTTTAAAATATGCACTAAGTAGCCATTCTATTAAACTTTTAATCCATTAGTAGTCAGTTCTCTGGATAGATTAAAAGTTATTTAATACACTAAATTACTCTAATTATTTGTAAAAAGAAAAGATATCTAAAATGCAAAAGGAAATAAAGAAATAGCACAGCATAGTTAGCTAACCTGAGAAAAGTTCTTACATATTTGGAAAGAAAGTTAATGAAACTGAATGGATATATCACCAAATAATTACATCTAGGATCATGCTATATTTCATTTTTCTCACTTTGCTTCACGCATAAAATTATCTAGATAATGAACAAAAAATACCAACCTGATAAGTTGTAATCTTATTTATTACAATTTCTAAAGAATCAGCCATTGTACTTAGTGGACACAGGAGTTTTCTACCTATTTAAGAATCACAGCACTGTATAATGCTTGTTTTCCTTTGGTACTTTGCATAAATAGATATTGAGAAAGGATTCCTTCCATATGTGATGGGCCGTGTAGAACTTCGGCTGCAGAAAACGCTTCTAGGAAGAATAATGACAGATGGCAAGTATACCAAAATGCTCTGGCTATCCAGGATTTGCTCCTGCTGGTCAGAGAAAAGCCAAATCAATACGATGCCCAAGCAATTAGCATTATGAACATCTGAATTATACAAAAATCAGAGGAAAGGACACTAGTATAATGGTCAGAACTTAATGCTTGCTTTAATGCAGGAGTGCACAACTGTGTGAACCACCAAGAACCTTGGTCGTAGCTTCCACAATATTTTTCTCATGCATTTAATAAGGCAGAAAAGGAAGTGTATTAAAAACACATATGGTCATCATAGTAACTGCCCTGAGTTGATTTCATTTGAGCAAAACTGCATGATTTAATTTTTGTAGTTTTCATTTTGGACACACTCTCTCTTTCTTTTCTTTTTTTCTTTTTAGATTTAATCCCTGGCATATCGGTTAATAATCTTCCAGCTGAAATAGCTGAGAGTTTACATGTGAACTTTTGGTAATCTTGCAGTAGCACACAACCATGTCATGGTACAACTGGCTGTAAGGTGTGCAAGATCTAAAGACCAAGAGGGTGGCATGTTTGGGGTGAAGTTTTTGGTTTCTTGCCTGCTTATGTTGTGTTACCTCTAGATTGAAAATGGTAATGTTCCGATATTCTACACATCTCTATTGTAAAGCTGCTCAGAAAACACACAAGAACCCAAAGATGCAACAGCAGCAACTTTAGTTTCCATCCATCTACTTCTTTCTGAACATACATTTCAGCATTAACCTGCTGTCCTTGTGGCATTCAAATTATGTCCTTGTCTTTTTTTTATTCAGTTCTATTGCCTTCCTTAATGATGTGTATCTGAGGCTATGTTGATGAAACAAAATACAATTTCAAAACTGAAGCTATTTTTACAGTTAAGAGATTATCTACTCAGGTAAATGTTAATTTAAGGTAATTACTTTTGCAGGCTTAATTAATGAGGTCATCAAAAAGAGATTGGACAGCTTCGAGGAAAATAAATTACTACCAAAGTCTCCCCGGTATAAAATACTTAAAAACCAGGCATCACAGTTTTCCAGGAATGCTGCTATGCTTAAAAAGCCCACTGATTTCAGAAGACCTTCGATGAGACAATAAAGAGGATGTCTACATCCTAATGCACAAAGATTCAGGTAATTAGGGGGGTAAAAGATTCAGGTAATTAGTCCTACCAAGGAGATATACAGCTTGGCCATCATCCTAGTGAAAATTTCACACAGTTTAGGCCTGGGTCTTCAACCTTGGCAACTTTAAGACTTGTGGACTTCAACTCCCAGAATTCCTTAGCCAGCCATGCTGAGGAATGGGGAATTCTGGGAGTTGAAGACCATAAGTCTTAAAGTAGCCATGGTTTACACTGTAGTCCTGACAAGCTCACTTGAAGCTCTATTATTTCTTTTTAAAACTCCCAAATCTTTGTACATGATCAAGGGGTTAGAGAGCATCAATTTCTTTCAATGGTCTCCGTCACCATCCAAGTCTGATTGGGGTCAATGAGCAACTTTGGTGTACTGCTGGCTAGCCAAAAGCAATACTACCAGTGGTGGGTTCCTCCCAGTTCGGCCCGGTTCGGTCGAACCGGTAGCGGTGACGATATGACATCACCGAACCGGTTCTCCACCCCCCCCCCCTCCCACCCACCCACCCACCCACCCACGTTATTCTTACCTTTTATTTGGTCCCACCCCCAATCTATTGCTGCCTCCTGAGTCCCAGCTGATGACTAGAGGGGAAAAAACTGTTTAAACTCTTGCCGCGGGGCTTCAAAGGGCCGTCCTACAGCTGATCAGTGTTAAAAGCAAACAAATGAGTCAGGTCGTAAGTGTGAGGACTGGTCATAAGTGCGAGGACCTTCCAGAAATGACTCTGACCAGTTAGCCACGCCCACCTAGTCACATGACTTCCAAGCCACACCCACAAAATAAGCCACACCCACAGAACCGGTAGTAAAAAAATTTAGAACCCACCCCTGAATACTACCCCTCCACCAAGAAGGGCTGCATTATTCAAACAGTTCCTACCTCTATAAAAAAAAAAAACACCTTGAAGCAACCACTTCACTATATTATATGAAAAGGCTGTTCTATCTGCAAATTAATGTTCTATCTGCAAATCTGCATATTACCCACTGTGGATGGGTGTTGTTAGATTAACTATTCCATTCTTGTTACCAAGAAATGATAGAGACCATGTTGTCTATTTGGTAAAATATAGCACTATAATTGCTGCTTTACCTAATTAACACCTTAAGTAATGCCTTACTCTTTGAGGAAGATAAGTCATACAGAAATGTGAAAAATGAAGTGTCTTCAGACTGTTAAGACAAAAGTACCACCTTATGTATTTAGCAAAATAAAACAAGCTGAAAGATTATATGGATTTTCTGGTTAATAAATTTATTTGTTTTACGTGGCCACCCATTTTATATGTATAACTCTGGGCAGCTAACAGTTAAAAAGAGAATAAAAACAGAATAGATACACACATCATTCTCCAAATCAGTGTTTCCCAACCTTGGAATTTTGGGCTCAATTGTGGTCGTAAATCGAGGACTACCTGTAGATTGTCCTGTAGATACAACTAAAATAATGCACTGGCGACAGAACAGAAACAGTTTTGTGCTGCCAATGAATTGGGCTGGGGGAATTACACATTCTTCACATGGTCCTTTTTAATAGTTGGAGGCCATTTTTGTAAATGCTTTTTCATATGCAGAGTGAAGTGGGTCCCAACTTTTTTTCTTGCTGGAAGAGGGAAGTGAGAATTTTTAAACTAGGACAGCCAGATCTGGAGTGTAAAAATCCAGATAATCTTCAGATGGCAGCAAAGACTTAAGAATTAAGGGCTTGGTGGCTCAGCAGACTGATAGCATTGTGACTAATACCAGCTCTCTGCAATTACTGTAAGTTCGAATCTCACCATGCTCAAGGTTGACTCAGCCTTCCATCCTTTCTAAGGTAGGTGAAATGAGGACCCAGTTTGTGGGGGCAATAAGCTGACTTTGTATAAATATACAAAAGTATGAAGGCTATTGCTTAACGCATTGTAAGCCGCCCTGAGTCTCCAGAGAAGGGCGGCATATAAATCAAATTAAAAAAAAAATTCTCTATATAACTTTGTGGGATTTTTTTTCACCCAATCAATCAATTAATCAATCAGAACACAGCTGGGAAGGACCTTGGAGATCTTCTAGTGAACTCCAACACCCTGCTTAAGCAGAAGACCTTATACCATTTCAGATAGGTGGCTGCCCACTCTTTTTTAAAAAAAACTTCCAGTGATGAAGCCCCTACAACTTCTGATTTGAAATCCTGATTTGCTGCCCTAACTTTAGCTGACTTCCCTTTTATACTGCTACCACTAACTGTTTTTCTTATCCTGAACCAGAACATCCTAACCCTCCATACTTGCTAACAATAGTGGCTCTCCCAGAAAGGAGCCCTGGGAGAAAACTATTGTTTAGAAGTTTGAATCCAATGAATGCACTTGTTTGTAACACATAAAAGGTAAAAATACTGATTAACTTCGATGAGAAAGAAATCTCTCCTATGGTCACATTTCAACTTGTTCTTTTGTTTCAAACAAAAGAGTATGTGCATGTGTGTAATTTCTTGCCCTGATTGAGACATTAAAATAAAAACCTGACAAAGGAAAGATCAGTAAAACACTACTGGTAGTCCTCAACTTACAACTGGTTGTTAAAGACCATTCGAAGCTATGATGACTTCAAAATAGCTACTTACAAGTAAGTCGTCCTTGAAATTCTGACCTCTGCCACTCTGGTCACGTGATCACATTTTGGTTGCTTGGCAACTGACTCGCATTTACAACCAGTTGCAGCGTTCTGCTGTCACATGACTACAATTTATGATATATATTTTTTGCCAATTTCCAGGAAAAAACACAAACACCCATCCGGGAGAATAAATTTATTCATTTATTTTTATTTATTTTATTTGGCTTATATGCCGCCCTATCTCACAATGGACTCAGGGCGGCTCACAACAATAAAACACAAGCCATAATAAAAATAAAGACTAAAATCTAAAAAATTTAAAATTAACCCATTAAAACCCTTAAAACCCCGTCATCAGACCAGGTCAAGGGATTTGAAAAGCCAAGTTTTTAATTCCCGGCGGAAGGTGCGAAGGTCAGGTGCTAATCGGAGCTCCAAGGGGAGTTGATTCCAGAGGGTGGGCACCCCAACCGAGAAGGCTCTACCCCTGGGGACCGCCAGCCGCCACTGTCTAGCGAACGGCACCCTGAGTAGGCCCTCTCTATGGGCGCAAACCGGGCGATGGGATGTTGTTGCTGGCTGTAGGTGGTCTGCCAAATATCCTGGTCCTAAGCCATGTAGGGCTTTATAGGTCAACACCAGCACCTTGAATCTCACCCGGAGGGCAACCGGTAGCCAATGCAAACCGCGCAGGAGGGGTGTAACATGGGAGTATCGGGATTCTCCCATCAAAACCCGCGCGGCTGCATTCTGCACCAGCTGAAGCCTCCGAGTGGTTCTCAAGGGCAGCCCCATGTAGAGAGCATTGCAGTAGTCAATCCGTGAGGTAACTGTGCGTAGGGCATCTCGGTCCAAGTAGGGACGCAACTGGCGCACCAGATGTATCTGGGCGAATGCCCCCCTGGTCACGGTCGTTATCTGGTCTTCTAAGCTCAACCGTGAATCCAGAAGGATGCCAAGTTGCGCACCCTGTCTACAGGGGGCAAAACTTCACCCCCTATAGTCAGTGATGGCACTTCTCCCCTGAACCGAGATGCCAGTACCCACAGCCACTCGGTCTTGGCTGGGTTGAGTTGCAATTTGTTTCTACTCATCCAGTCCCGTACCGCTTCCAGGCACCGGGCCATCACATCGAGGGCATCACTGGGTTGGTTCGGGGTGGAAATATAAAGCTGAGTATCATCAGCGTACTGATGATACCTCACCCCAAAACCACGGATGATCTCCCCTAGCGGTTTCATATAGATGTTGAACAAGAGAGGTGAGAGAACCGACCCCTGAGGCACCCCACAGGTGAGGGGCCTCAAGGTCGATCTCTGCCCCCCCGCCAACACTGCTTGCGTTCGACCCGAGAGGTAGGAGGAGAACCACCGTAAAACAGTGCCTCCCACTCCCAACCCCTCGAGGTGACGCAGCAAGATACCGTGGTCGACGGTATCAAAAGCCGCCGAAAGATCCAGAAGGACCAGAACAGAGGAATGACCTCTGTCCCAGGCCCTCCAGAGATCATCCATCAGTGTGACCAATGCCGTCTCCGTGCTGTACCCGGGCCTGAAACCCGATTGGTATGGGTCGAGGTAATCCGCTTCATCCAGGACCAGCGGGAGCTGACATGCAACCACATTCTCAACAACCTTCGCTAAAAAGCGAAAATTGGAGATTGGATGAAAATGATTTAATACAGCTGGGTCCAAGGCCGGCTTCTTGAGGAGGGGCCTCACCACCGCCTCCTTCAAGGTGGTCAGGAAGTTTCCCTCCCTCAAAGAAGCCGCTATCACCGCCTGGATCCAGCCTCGTGTCACCTCCCGGGCCGAATAAACCAACCAGGAGGGACACGGGTCCAACACACAGGTGATTTGCTTCATAGGTATGTGGTTCACTTAAGGACCACAATGACTCATTTTACAATTATCATTAACATGTTTGTAAAATCAAGTCCTATCTCTTGCGGTGGTCCAACTTATTGACTGTAGTGACTTATGACCAAAATTCTGAGTTTGTATCATGGTCATAAGTCAAAGACTACCTGTAAATTTTCATATGTTTCACATTAAGTTTTGCTGCATCCAATTGTATTTGCTATGGAGGATAATATAGGATAGATTTTTACAACAAAAATTTGAAAAAAAATAAGGGAATAACAGAAGTAAAAAAATTGAGATATTTAGCAAACATCCAAGGAGCTTCAGAGGCGGAATAAGAATGAATGCATTTTATTCTTTTTAAACCATGACTGGATCTTGCCTTTAATGAAATTCTAATTCTATATTAATAATTTCTCAAGAGTTTCTGCAAGTGTTACCACTAGATGTCAGTAAAATTATTAGAAGCAAACTATACTTCTCTGTTCTTCAGCATGCAGTCCATTTTCTGGTTGGCTGAAGTTGTGGCATTCATTAACTGTATTAGGCATTCCTACTCAGAAAGACCAAGAAGACTCACAGAAGTCCCATGGATTTATGGGAATATAGCCTCAATATCTTTTAGTACTAGTCATTTGATATTATTATCTGAAATACATTTTGAGCAGTGTATGTTTCCTTCAGAATTAAAACCAATCTGATTGCATTCTTCCCCCCTCCCCACCCCATTGGTGGGAATAGCTGAAAATTAATGGAGAACATTCATGAAAGGTGGTAAAATATGCAACTTTCTTATTTCGTTTTGAGTGGATTTTCAGAATACCAGCAGCTCTGGTTGTAATCCCGGACCTGGCACTAAGTACCATCATCAACTGATATAACCAAAGGCCACATTGGCTAGATAACAGGAATGTACTCCAAAACACCAGAACAGCATAAAACTGGAGATTACACCTTATATGTTATACCAAGAGAATAGTATGTGGGTAAAATAAGATATAAGTAACAGCTATAGTTCTGTGTGTCATGTAGTAATGACAGCTTAGTGCTGAACTGCATACATATACATGAACCTCATAAGTGTAGCCTTCAATAAATTCATTTTCAAGTTCTTGAGAAGAAAACATGAGAATTTACCTAAACACCTAGAGCACAGGTGTCAAACTCGTGGCGTCCTGTTGCCGTGACATTTCACAACATTTTTTCCCTTTGCAGAGCTGGGGTGGGCGTGGCCTGCGCATGACGCATCTGGCCCGCGAGCCACCATTTTGACACCCCTGACCTAGAGTGCTGCTAACAATGAATACAGATAGTTCTGAGTGTGACAGAACAATGAAGCTTATCCATGATTAAATTATCCATGGGGTATTAAACAAGTTTATACAATGCACTACTATACCATACATTAGCCAACCACATTTTAGCCAAGTGTGTTGTGTGAATCTTTCCAGAAGAAGTCAAATCAGACTTTCATTCCCCCCCCCCCGCCCCCAAGTTTCCTTGCCAAAATTCTCGCTTAAGATACATTAAGTCACAATTTCCCAGATAGAAGATTGGCAGATGAGGCAGTAATTAGCCAGCGATGCATCTCTAAATCATATCAAGACATTTTTTCTCATTCACCTAGATAATTTACATTTCTTCCATGCTGGGCTACAAAAATCTGAAGGACTATTGGACCCTGATCTGAATCTGAAGGACTATTGGACCCAGGGGTACCAAACTGGCAGCCCATGTGCTGGATGCATCACGCACAGGCCACGCCCACCCCAGCTCCGCAAATGGGAAAACCGTCACAAAACGTCATGTGACAGCAACGTGACACCGCGAGTTTGATACCCGTGCACTAGACATAACTCATTCAGGCATAGACTGGAGTCACATATTTCATTAATATGTGAAGCCAGCCATTGTGCTTTTATATAATGGATTACAAAATGAGAACCCGGCCTGTTGCGTTCATTCAATAAATTATAGTTAAGAAAACTGCAGTTTAATGTAAAATGTAAAGCTATCCTTTGTGCCATAATCAATGAACTATGATTAAAATGAATTAAGGCACCGGGGAATAGTGTGTATTAATCTAGCCATGCACACTCTGTCATATGTGCATGATACATTAGGACGGTGGTTCTCAACTTTTTCTTCAACTCGCCTTTAGATACCTTTTGTGGCCACGAACCATAGCCACAGACTACCAAGACTTAACTCAAGATTTAAATCATACATTTCTTCAAGCCTTAGTGGACTCCCTGTGATGATCTCACGGCCCCCCAGGGTTCCACAGACCACAGGATGAGAACCACTGCACTGGATATTCAGTACTTTTTAAAAGAAAAACAAGGCAATGTAGAAAACACCTTACATCTCCCTCTGATCCTTAAATATATCTATGCTAGAGATGTTAGAGCTATGCCTAACCATGTAAGGAGCCTTAACTTGTGCCAGTTAGGAGTTTTCATGAAGCACTCTAGCCTAATTGTACTAACTGACTAGTGCAACTCGCCTTCTCTCTAATACAGGAGTCCCAAAACGCTGGTCCATGGATCAGCACCGGACTCCGGCATGCCAGAAACCGGGCTGCGCAAACAAGCAAAGCCCCATCTGCAGGATGTAGGCAGCATGGGAAACCACGCCCCCTCTGGTCCACGGAAAAACCTCTCTCCACAGAATCAGTCCCTGGTGCCCAAAAGGTTGAAGGCCACTGCTCAAATGCCTAAGGATTTGAGGATATTCCTGTTAGTGGGCCAGCACTTCAAGAAGAACATAGCTACTTGAAAGAACATGGCTGCATTCCATTGCAGAAAATTAGTTTAATTGTTAACTACTTACTAAGAGTCCCACCTTGTTCAGCCTCATATGCCAATTGAGGCTACTCTCTGAGCAATTTGTTAACTGTTAATGAAGTTATAAACCAAAGTCTGAAAGTGAATTATTAAAAAGATTAATTATTATACATATTTGTCATATGTTTCCTACCTGAGGGTTTGCTGTTTCTATGTACATAGGGTTTCCAGGTGGAGATTTCTGCTACACTACTAGTATTATACTAGCATACTATATACACAAGCCATATTTAAACAAACCACTGCTTAACATGATGCAGGAATTCAGCCAGTTGGGTTTTTACTCAGAAAGAGATGCAAGATTTGTAATATTTGCTTTATTTACAAATTTGTAGGATGAGTATATTGGAAGCAAACAGATCTCCTGCCTTTGAAATCCTGAAAAGTATCTTCTACAGCTTCTTCTCTACTAGAAAGCTGGATACCACCAGCCTCTTGAAACTAAATATAGCCAGAACCTCTCCACATTCTTTCCATTTCAGCCTTCAAATTTTTGTTTTTGATGACTCTGCGGGCCCACCCTTCTTGTCTAAATGGGAACCTTTTTCCTCTACCTTAGGATGAAGGCTGAGGACAAACTAGCTTGTATAGTTAAATCAGAACCACCCATCCAAATGAGAGGATAGCAAGGGGAAAATTTCATTCAGCCCTTGCAGGGGTATTAAAAGAAACATTTAAGAGGAAGAAAAGTAAACAGCTCAGCAGTGATTGAGTAGGCTAATGGGCAGAAAATTATAAACAGTGCACGGAAGCCACTGAATGAAACAGTCTGAACCCTGGACAGAAAATCCACCAGTCTGCAATATTTTATTTATTTATTTATTGGTTCGACATATATATATATATAATTTTGATTTATATGCCGCCCTTCTCCGGAGACTCAGGGCGGCTTACAATGCGTTAAGCAATAGCCTTCATACTTTTGTATATTTATATAAAGTCAGCTTATTGCCCCCACAAACTGGGTCCTCAATTTACCTACCTTAGAAAGGATGGAAGGCTGAGTCAACCTTGAGCCTGGTGAGATTCGAACTTACAGTAATTGCAGACAGCTGGTGTTAATCACAATGCTATCAGTTTGCTGAGCCACCAGGCCCTGTATGCCACCCTTCTCTGGAGACTCTGGGTGGCTTAAATGCGTTAAGCAATAGTCTTCATACTTTTGTATATACCTGCTTAGTAGGGCTTTCAGCCCCCCCTAAGCGATGTTCTTTTTTATACAAAGTCAGCTTATTGCCCCACAATCCGGGTCCTCATTTTACCTACCTCGGAAGGATGGAAGACTGAGTCAACCTTGAGCCTGGTGAGATTTGAATTTGCAGTAATTGCAGGCAGCTGGCAGCTAAGTACTACTTAACAGCACTTTAGTCCGCTGCGCCACCAAGGCTCATAATATATAAATATTGCTATCTATATATTATTTTAAGCTAATTTATATGGGTGTCCATTTGTCAGATAAGATGTTACAGATTGGTTTTGTCGTTCGAATCGTAAAATTGTTTCTCAGTTATTAGTAGGCCATCTAACCATCATTATTGGTCACCTTAATAAAGCATAAACCTTCATTTTGAACTCTTAACCATCAATCTACTGTTTAATAAACTAGTTTGGAATGTTCATCCAATATATAGTTCTGTAAAAACAATGTATATACACTACGAGGACTGTCTGGCCAAAGTTAATAAATTTATAAGACAACATTCAATGGAGAATTTAGCACTCATTTAACTTCTTCTCACAGAGCTCAGTGAAGCTCCAAAATCTTGCCAACTTTTGGCTGGATTGTGATATATATGGAGCACTATTAATTAAGTGTTCTCGTGTCATTTTCTATTAATAATTTGTTATTATCCAACATATAAACTCAGACTATAGAAACAACTAAATAATGAACTTCTTAAAAAGTAATTAAAACCACAGAAGTCTTATTTGCATTGTAAGCAACCCAAATAGTATAATTTGTTTTTTAAAAAAGGCTCTTAGATGAAATAGATAATGCCCAATGTTAAATCATTTTTGTTTGTTTTATGTCTCCACAGAATCTAAGAAAATTTTATATAAACATTTGGGAGAATCTACTGAATACTTGTGAAGAAAACTGTTATTTTGGCAAGCATTAAATTGAATGCTATTTTTCAAGTGTTTTCTAACTGGGTATTTTGTTTTAAACTTTTGTCATTGTAGTTATTATTTTGACTTTATTTCTATAATAATATTCTGTAATTGAGAGAGACATATAGGAATATAGTATACTATTCCTGTAAAAATGCATTTTCTAATATGTGGAGGAAGTTTGGGTTTAGCCATATTAAATTATACCCATTAAAATCAAAATGATCTAAATTAGCTTAATTGGTTAAGTCTCATGTTTTCCACCAAGTCTATACTAATATTTCATTATAGTATGCTATTTTTATCTGTTACTGATTTTAATAATTATATGCTAATTTACTTTGTTTAAGCCATTTTTAAGGGAAGAGAGTATATTTTATAATTAATATACTAGAATAAATATTTACTTGATTATATAGCCTTTATTCTATAATGAAACTAAATTGCATTTAAACATTGCCCTGAAAACTGCTATCTTCCTTTCCAATGGACTGATAGCCATCTACAACATGCTTGTAGCTATACTATGGCAAATACATCTATTGTAGAATAAACTATTTTCATACCATTATTTTTCTATTATTATCTGTTCAGTTGTGGACTATATGCACAGCCATATTTATAGAAAGTACAACAATGGTTCCGTGTTTGCTGTTTTGTTTTTCAAAACGTCAATTAGAAAGAAAAAACAAGATTTGGAGAGATTATTCTGCTGACTTCCCAGTTAGCATTTCAAGGTCACTTGCCCAATTGTGTGAAAGTTGTAACAAAAATGGTAAATGAGAAATGTGGGCTCCTTCATGAACATGGGAATTAAAGACATGCTGAAAACACTTAAGACTAAACAAATTAGCTCTGTTTGGCACCAGCTAGAAAGAAACTGATTAAAAGAAACATTTGATGGAACAGTTTCAGGACAAATGAAACTCCTTGCAACTAGCAATACACCAACTTCAATTACATAATAGTATACAGTATTTCATTTGCTACACGTGGAACATCAAGAAGAGATGCATGTCATCAATATCCATAGCTCCTTTTTGACATCAGGAAATGCCCCTTGGCTTATCTTTTTAATATAAAGTTAAGACCATGAAAAATAAAAAAACAAAGATGGCTGTTTGACCGGTTTTAAAAAATAAATTCTATTCTTGATTCCTACAAGGTCATGTTTTTGATACTAGAACATTTCTGCTGCTTCCGTATTTACAAATCTTATTAAGTTTGTAATCATATCTGTACTTTTCAGATTATTTCAGTAAAAACAAATACGATATGACGGTTGTATGATGTAATCATACATCATATTTTTATCATTTAATGATAAAAATTCTCATGACAAGTTCTCAATCTGGTTTCAAATGGTGCATGTTTTAGGATCCGCTGGCTAGTGAACATCCAATATTTTTAAAAAGGAGTATAGTTAGTCCTTGACTTACAACTACAATTGAGCCCAAAATTTCTGTTGTTAAGTGAGACATTTGTTAAGTGACTTTTGCCCCATTTTAAAACCTTGCTTGCCACAATTATTAAGTGAATCATTGGAGTCATTAAGTTAGTAACACAGCTGTTAAGTGAAGCCAGCTTCCCCATTGACTTTGTCAGAAGGTTGCCAAAGAGGATCACATAACCCAGGGGTAAAATCTAAAATTTGTTACTACCGGTTCTGTGGGCGTGGCTTGGTGGTAGTGGGGGTAATGTGACTGGGTGGGCGTGGCCATTTTTTTTTTTTTTTTACTTTTAAAACCATTTTTTCTACAACCTCTTCGGGGAAGAGGTTGTAAAAAAAATGCTTTCAAAAGGCTCTGACGATCCCAGCTGAGTTGCCTGATTGGCAGAGGCTTTTTTTCTTTTAAAAGCCTCTGCCGATCAGGCAACTCAGCTGGGATCGTCAGAGGCATTTAAAAGAAAAAAAACCTCTGCCGATTAGGCAACTCAGCTTGGATCGTCAGAGGCATTTAAAAGAAAAGAAGGGTTTTTTTCTTTTAAAAGCCTTTGACGATCCCAGCTGAGCTGCACGATCATCAGAGGCTTTTTTTTTTACCTTTAAAAGCATTTTTTCAGCTGAAAAGGTTGTAGAAAAAATGCTTTTAAAAGTAAAAAAAAAACACCTCTGATGATTATGTGGCTCAGCTGGGCATGGGGAGGCCCAGGGATTTTTGCTACCAGTTCTCCGAACCACCCGCCTCCATCGCTACCAGATCGGGCGATCTGGTCCGAACAGGGAGCATTTCACCCTTGACATGACCCCAAAATGCTATGACTGTCATAAGTATGAGTCAGTTGCCAAGTGTCTGAATTTTGATCACGTGACCATGGGGATACTGCAACAGTTGTAAGCATGAAAAATGGTCATAAGTCACTTTTTCCAGTACCGTTGTAACTTTGAACGGTCACGAAATGAACTGTTGTAAGTCAAGGACTGTCTGTACTACATTTGAATAGTCTTAGAGTATTATTAATAGTTCATTCACATGGAATGCAGTGTTGCTAAAAGAAGCACAATATAAAATAATTCTTTGTGCGTGCAAAGCGGTCTGACTTATTTTTCTTTCTTGTATTTTTATTCCACAAGAGGTCACCAACCTGTAAATCCCCAGAAATAATTATTTAAAATGCTTCTAAATGTAAATCTATATTCTAGTTAAAGCATTGGAATAACAGTAGTAGTACACAAAATCTGATCCAAAACCATTGTCAGCAGTGTAAAAAACATCTACACTATAACTGCCTGTTTTGGACTGTTCCAGTTCAAAATTGCAACATAGGTACTAAGCTGGAAAAATATAATAATCTAAGCAATTAAAGTACTTAGTATTCCATTATCCATTACACATTTAGAATGAACGGGCCTGATAAATCTTGTTTTGAAAGAAGTTGCACATAGATAATACCACTTTAAGGAAGACTCTGCTTTTGATAACTACCTGGTGAATCTACTGTAGTAAGGTATCCATCATTCAGAATTCTCCAAGTTATACAAGATATCATTTCTGGATGGTTATGTACAATACTGAGTTTTGAATGCAATAATAAGATGTGGGGAAAGATGGAATATAGAGATTTTTAGAAGAGATTGCCATTTCCCTTATTTATATATTTAATTTCTTTACCCTCCCTACATATAGCTTTCTCTAGTGTTGAGAAAAAGGGAAGAATTATCAAGGAGACACCATTAAGAGAAAGTGTGGTTGTAGTTGTTATTGATTTTTTAGCTACTTTGTTTTTGCTGGGACTGAATTCCTCCAATATCATTATAGTATTTTGATCCAAGTTTTTCTTTACCCGTGTTTAATCGCTAAACTGAAAGAGGACAGGTGCTGCTAATGTTTTTAGTTGCTTTTCTTAATTTGCTTTCCATCTTCTAGTGGCCACAGTAAAGGGTTAACCTCTGGGTGAATAACCTGAACACTGAGAAAATCACAACATTAATCTTCCAGGCAGAACAAACATTTCAAGAAAGGAAAAAATGCTGCATACAAAGGGTGTGTTTCTAATGCCATGAGAACAGTGTATCCTTGTGAAAATATAACTTACATAATAGAGGTAATAGAAGTATTTATTTAAACTCATCAGAAGCAGTGGTAGTTGCATAGGACAAATTTATCTTTGTGGCTGTCTGACTTGTGCAAGTTATTGATCTGCAAAGGATTTTATAATTATTTGAAGGATAACCTCCTTTTGGTCTGCAAACGGCCATCTCCCTGCATTGTCATGCTTGATAAAATGCCTGGATCTTGTCAAATTATATCACTAAGCCTTACCAAAAATAACTCCAACCATAATGATACATATAATCCTTCCACCCAACTGTTAGAAGGCCAAGAATAGATGTCAGACATATAAAATATAAGAAGTATGAAGATTGCCTTACGGCTATGTCTCAATGTGCTGCATTTGGTTCATCTCTAGGAAGAGCTGAGGTTATGCTGATGATGTTCTTCACAAATCACAGCCACTGAACAAAGCAGTAAGCTGTCCTGCCTCTATGCAGATAAACAGGACATTGCCTTACTTTGAAGGAACACTTTGAACCAAACTTCAGGGAAGCTAAGTGTCCCTTTGAAGATCTGCACACAATGTATAAATAACTAGATAACCGGTTGGGTCAACATTTCAGAGTTATTTCGTCAAATAAACAGAGAAATGGAATGACCAAGGGTGGGAAGAAAAGCAGTGGGAGCAGGAATGACTTCTGACTTCCCACTGGTTTCCCCATTGAGTTTCCTTGTGGTAATCTGGCAGGGAGCATTGGAAAGCCTTCCTGCCTGCCTTTCCAATTCCCTTCCCTTTCCAGCAATGGCTGCTGCTGATGGAGGATAAAGCAATGGATTTCAAGACTGGCTGGGAAACTGTCATGCAACATTGAAAACGAAGATCACATGACTGAAGCAACATTGCAGCACCAGCCAGCCAGAGGTAGTATTCAGCAGGTTCTAGCCAGTTCTGGAGAACCGGTAGTGGAAAGTTTGAGTAGTTCGGAGAACCGGTAAATACCACCTCTGACTGGCCCAGCCCCCATCTATTCTCTGCCTCCCGAGTCCCAGCTGATCAGGAGGAAATGGGGATTTTGCAGTAACCTTCCCCTGGAGTGGGGTGGGAATGGAGATTTTTACAGTATCCTTCCACTGTCACGCCCACCAAGCCACACCCACCAAGTCATGCCGTGCCCACCAAGCCACACCCACAGAACTGGTAGTAAAAAAATTTGAATCCCACCACTGCAGCCAGCACTGAAGCAGTCACAACCTTCCCAAGTTTCATTCCGTTGGGAACCATGGGTCCTGGATTTTGAACACATTCTGTAATTAGCCCTTTTGAGTACCTTGGTTCAAAAATTGTTGCCCTATGATGCACTGTTTCACCCAGTTAAAGCTCATGACGAGAGTTTTAGTAGTATATAGATTCCAAAGATATACAAAAGGCATTTAAACTTTTCCATTTTTCTTTCATGAAAAGCAAAGATCATGATAAATCTGTAAAACAGGAGTTTATTGTTCATAAAAACACCTGAAAGAATTCTCAGTACTTCACAAGAAGCTATGAGAACGAAGGAAGAGATATGTATCTGTTTCTAACCCAAAACATGACAGGAGAGCCACTCATTCATTTATGAAAAAAGAATTTTTATAATGCTAACCAGAACACCATTAAGGGAAAGTGGAAGGGGGATATTATTTGCCTTTCAGTCCATGTGTGATTATGTCTCAGGAACACCTATATTACCAACCCAC